CCAAAATTTTCCAATAAAAAACTTACCAATCAAAACAAAATTAATCAAACAATAAAACCAAAAACAAAAGGCAATAAAAACTTGGTTAAAAACATTGATTTTGAAAATGTTATTGTTTAAGAAATTTTAATTTATAACACATTCTAGACAATAAAATATATATTTTTCCATATAACCTTTTTATTAGACTTCTTCATTCATTACTATTCTTTTACATGTCAAACAGTTAAATGGAGATTGCATTTTTAAGCAGCGATAAAAAACGAACCGTTAAACTTGGCATAGTTCTTTTATAACAAAAACTTTACTTTTACAATTTCGAAAAGTTGTCACTCTTCGAATAGACGATAATATTCTCTTTCTGTATTTTCTTATACACATTATTTACGCTAAATTTGACTATGTTTTGTGCGTAACAAATTGAACCCTAACCATCCGAGACAAAATGTACCTACATTACAATAAAACTTTGTTTTGAATATAATGTAGGTCTCATATTAAAAGAATAATACTTTTAATATTAATTTAAATATGTAGCAGTTTAAAAAATAGTTATTTTTTATACAAGACGATAAAATGGTATTTTATCGTCGACCGAAAAGATTAATTCACGAGCGGGAGACGATAATGCAATTTTATCGTCGTGTATAAAACAATATTTTTTCCATAGCGAGTTACGTTTTAAAAAATATTCAGAAATTATTATTTCAAGGAATTTATTACGAGTAGAAAAATATTGTGCTGGGTTGGCGTTGGTTTCTATGTAATTTGACAAATAAATAAAGCTGTCTCTTTAGTTGTCAGTTTTGAGTCAATATTTTTTAATTCTCTTTCGTGTCGATTGCTGATTGAATTGGAGCCAGAAATGGCTCAAAACGAAATAAGTAAATTACCAATAGATATTCAGGCTGAGGCAACAAACGCCATATCCAAACTACTTCCATTTAAATCCCGAATAACTTATGAAAAGAAATACAAAAATTTTCAAAAATGGAGGTAATTAAAAAACGTACGAGAAGAAATAAAGTTGTTAACCTATCCTCGCTGTTAAAGTATCATTTAATCTACCCTTGCGGTTAACGTACTATTTTATCTAGTATTTTTGATAGATATAAGGCAATTTTAACAGTTGCTATTGGAAAAAAATACATTATTAGGCTTCTAAGATTTCGAAAAAGAAACACAATGATTTTTTTTTATGGTTTTTTAATTGTTTTAATTAATATATCAATGCATGCAAGAGTGATACAAACTACTATAAATGAAAAAGAGAGTAATTATATTTAGGTTTATTGAAGAGCACTAAAACCCACATTCAAAAGAATAACTTTAGATATTTTTGATTAGCCCGTTTACGAATTATCACCGATTTCTTTTTAAATATTTCTCCTTTTTTATGGCCCTGTATTTACTTATGAGCACCAGTCAAGGTAAAAGATAACCGCCAAATGAAGTTGTCATTTCAGAAATTTATCTATTTAGTGCTTTAATATTATTATTAAAAACTCATACCAACATCGAAAATATTAGCCATGAATTACACTACCGAAGAAAAACTATTGATGATTAAATGGTATTATCAAGGAAATAGTTATGAAAAGGTATCGGATACAGAGCAACAAATCAAATGACAACGATAATTACTAAAAAGAATATGCAGTAATTTACGAAATACCGTAATGACGTCACCAATCTCTTTCATCTGGTTGTCAAGTGATTGAGAGAGTTCGACAATATATGACGTGACGTTGTACGATGGCTGAGCATTCTATACATTGTCTCTAATTTTTGTTTCATCCTTAATAAGTGTATAGGGTGGGCCAAATTGAACACTTAAGAGTCGAAATATACTGCCCTTAAAAATAATTGTATTTATTTAAGACTCACCCTGTAGAAAGTCAGATCGCATATTTTTACGATTTTTTTTAATCAAAATCCAATTAAAAATATGTTTTTTATTACAAATATAACAATATAATGTATAAATAAATATTGTATCACTATATTGGATACCAAATAATGTAATTGCTTTTAGGTTATAACATTTCTTGCAAAATGTATTTCGGATTTGGTTTTGTATTTTATAGGATTAAACGTAAATGAAAAATATTCCTGAGAAATTTTAATACCTCTTTCGTAAATATATAAAATTTTATAATCACAAATTACAATGCTTATACAGGGTGCGCCATATCTCGCGGGGAGATACCTCACGTAAAAATAAGTTTATTTATTTTTCATATCAACATACGTCCGATTCTGCTTTGTTTCGTAAGCACTATCTAAAATAAAAATAATAAAAATTCATACCGTATATTCTTTGCATTTCCTTGTTAAAACAGTCAACTGAAAATCTTAGAAAATTGTCAGACACTTTATGTCAGTTTAATAATATATTTCGTACTTTTGTGCTTAGGCGTAAAAGTGCTTAATTTTTATGCCTAGGCGTTAAAATGACATTTTTATATTGTCAATCACCTCGCAAAAATTAATACTTTTGTGACGTTTGAAAAAGGGTAAAGAGAAAATATTGTTTGTTTCTTTTATCGAGAAATCTGCAAGGCCCTGTGAAAATCACTGAAAAAAAGGATCTCTCAGTCGAAATGAATATGACTTTGACCCAAAAGATTGGCGCTTTTCAATAGGGCCAAGAACGACGTTTCTTTGCCCAAAGCATTAACTATCTTTTCATAAGCTTTGTTTATTGCATGTTTGCTGCTCTGTATCCGAATAGATCGATACCTGGAAAATCTACAATCGCAAGGAATATCCAGAGATTTGAGACCAAAGGTACCCTAAATAACTGCAGATGTGAAGTAAGGCAGGAACAAAGAGAAGATGCAAGAAATCATACCGACTTGGAAGTTCTATTGTGCGTGTAAGAGAACGATGGAAACATCAGCACAAGGAAACTTGAGGATGAAATAGGAATAGATCACACTACAGCGTTTCGAATTTTGAAACGACATAAATACTATTCCTTCAAATATGAAAAGCACCAAGAGCTACGAGATGGGGACGAAATACGGCGGCAGGCGTTTTGTTTTGATATCTTCACTCCTTGGTATATTTTGGGGTGGTTCATCACTCTACAAATTACAAAAAAATGTTACATCACGATTAATCAAAGTAAAGCAAATAAATTATTAAAATTATAAGCTTTGGTCACATTTTGATTTTTTTAATACGACGACTTGAAATTCTAAAATTTTTGTAATTATTTGCATAAAAAAATCGATACCTATATTCTTATTCCATCTATAGTCACGCATGCATTATCTAAACAGGTGCATTAGGTAAATGTCTCTTACCTTCAAATATAGCAAATAAATGCTCTAATTTCCATTTTTTCAGAAACTCCTTTAAAGAATCTATATATCCTAAAATTTGTCCATAAAAAATGACAAATGCATGTTAATAACGATCACTAATTTGTTATACAATATGCGTTTAAAAAGCAAATTATGCAAAATTCCAAGCAACAAAACCCGTGCGTACTATGATATGATGATCGGACTGCCGACTAGAGATGGGAAAGAATCGATTTCAAAAATCGATTAATCGATTTTTGCGTGAGTATCGAAAAATCGATATTTTTTAATTTTTTAATCGAGTAATCGGTAATTCGATTTTATTCCTCTACTATAAAGAAAGTAATAAGTAAATTGTTGCAAAATTAAACAATTCCCTTTACAAATATTTAGATACAGTACGTCTGTCCGTTCTGTAGCTACGGGGTATCCGTGAGAGGGAAAACGATATTATCTCGATGTTTTTCGTAAAAAATTAGACGACGCGTCTCATCAATAAAAAAACGACAAATTTGCAAGTAGCCAATAAAATGAGTGGGCGGAGCGATTTGCGGTGACGTACTCGTCAAGTCGACGTATAAAATATACTGTTGTTTATTTAAATGTTTTTCGTCCGTATTCTTTTCATAGACAGAGATCCAGCAGACGTGCTGTACTTTGGCCCTAAAGTATTTATGTATTCTTGCAACGTCAGTGCCCTCTGAGAGGGTTTTTTCACAGGCAGGCATAATAATTTCAGCCAAACGAAGTCGATTAAAGTAAAAAATGTAAATAAAATGATTTTTGTAAACAAGAACCAACAAGTTTTAAGTTTGTAAAGCAATATTTATCTATGTGATCTCTACCTCTACAGGAGGAACAAAGAACTAATGTTTTTTTTATTGTTTTGTATTATTTATTTTTTTTATTCTTATTTTTTTGTGGTGTAGAGTGTTAACCTAGTGTGTTAACTTTAGGTGTGGAGTGTTAACCTAGACCAATAGTAATAGTGTAATACCATACCAAACATCTTGATTTGTAACTTGAATGACGATTATTTTTTATTAATAAAATATATTAAATAGAATTAATGTTTAGATACATTTATTTAAAAAAATTAAAAATCGGCTTTTTAATCACACCGATTTTTTAAATCGATAAATCGATTAATATTTAAATTTATAATCGAAAAATCGATCTACCGTGGAATCGATTTTTTCCCATCTCTACTGCCGACTGATTGTATATACTGTCCTTCGTCATCGTCTTTGCGTGTCGTTATTATTTTTCATCAAAAGAGTATTTAGCTATTGGAAAAATATCCATGTTTCTTGAATGAAGTACTTCCTAGCGTATTTTTCTTATTATCTTAAAACAAAGTAACGTGCACTTGGTTGAATGAAAATAGATCAAAGAGAAATTTTCGAGTTTTTCAAGAGAACCAGTTTTCTTGAGTTAAGAGAGTTTTTCTTCAGGCAAAATATTTTCTTTTACGCTAAAATAAATTCTCTTGCTACCAAATTTTTTTTTTCAAGAACGATGACGACTTTAGTTCAAGTCTATCTTTTTTATCAGTTATCACTAGTTATCACTTATTTAAGGCGCACTCTGTATAGTCTCTACTCATAAGTCCTCTGAGAAAAAGACTAAGGAATTTTTAAGATTTTCGGAGATTATTACTAAAATTAAAGGATTTTTTTTCGGTTTCAGAAAATGGCGCCTTCTGAGGTCAGTCAATCCGCGCCTCATCATCATTCTGATCACTTGACTAGTCAAGAGAAAGTGAAAGTAATCGAAGAAAAGAAGGCTAAAAAGGACTATTCTGGATTGCTACCGGCGGAAATCGGCACAGATTACAACTTCAAACGAGAGATAGTGTGGAAAAATGCAATTGGTTTTTTGGCATTGCATTTGGCAGCTCTATATGGACTATGGGTGATGTGTGCGTACTGTATGTGGAAAACGGACATCTGGGGTAAGTTTCCATTAGATAGTACGATATTTTATATTTTATTACGACCTCTACAATATTCGGAAAACACTTCAGAGGACTTCAAGGCCGCGTTTCTTCGCCTAACTTTATCGCCTAAGCTTGTCTTGGCCTATTTCCGTTTGTCTTCACCTACTTTTATTTCTTAAAAACGCCTCGAAACTACTCGTCGAATTGCGGAGAAGGCAAGGATGTAAGGGGATTTTATTTGTCTTGTTCAATTTCGTTTTGTTTACTTCCACGACGTGTTTGTATCTATACCCGAGACAAAGGACTTTTTTTCATAAATCTCAGTGAAACAAGTAAACCTAGACGTTTCTAAAATATCTGTTGTTGCGTTGATATTTCGTTAATTACATCTCATTTTATGTTGATATATATATTAATTAATAATATGTATAGTATACAGGGTAGTGACAATTTCGATGCTCAACATTGGCATCTCAGAAACTACGAGAGATACGAATTCGGATAAATGGGATAAAAGTTGCGTAATTAGAAGTTTGACAAACGCCTATGAAGAAACCCCCGGTATCTTGATTAATTTCGGATTTATGTCAAAAAAATTAAAACAATACGTTTATTTTAAATGGAAATATCTTCAGAACTATTGTATCTATTGGAACGTAAGTTGGTAGTTTTATATTTTTAACCTCAATTTGGCCAATTAAATGCCGTTTTCAGAAAATTTCTAAGCCTTCTAGATTTTGCACAACAACAGTCAAGTTTTTGTTTACTTATGGCCGCCATTTTGAATTTTTATACTATTAGATAGAGCGAAAGAAAGTCTATATGGTGGTATCTAATTTTTATTCATTATTGTAGTGTAATTAAATTATTTTTTGTTTATTCTGTTAAGTGTCAAATCCGGACGCACAAAAATTGTATAATAGAGTTCAATACAGGTCAATACAGAACCAAAAATTTTATTGTCAAGAAGCTCTGATGTTCAAGGTATATCTTATTTGTGGTCTGGTTTCTCTAATTAAATGAAGATTTTCTTTTGCATAATAATGTGATTTTTTTTCTGTTAAATGTACCAGTATTTGTAAATAAAGATTCATCCGTCCATAATATTTTTCTAGAAAAAAGGGGGCTCTCTTGAACACTTTCCCCAAACCATTTGCAAAATTGTAATCTTCTCTCGTGATCACCAGTATGTAAAAAAAGTAAATTTGATACACATTTAAATTTAAAGTTGTGATATTTATGTTTTTTGATAATCTTCCCTACATAAGAATCACTTATACAACACTCGCGACTTATTTTACAGCTAGAGGTTTCCGGGCTTATTTCAATCTGAGCTGGCACATTAATATCATTAAGCCTTTTAAAACATTGCCCTCTTCTTTTCATTTTAAAGACATAGGTGTTTGTCAAACTTTTAATTACGCAACTTTTGTCCCATTTAACCGAATTCGTATCTCTCGAATTCGTAGTTTCTGAGATGCCAATGTTGAGCATCGAAATTGTCACCATCCTATATATTTAAGAACAAAACTTTTCACTTAATCTGCAAGAATATAATTACAATATTTTTATTATTTAATTTTATTATATTGAATTAGTATATAAAATTGTATATGTTATGTTTGTTTACGGCCTTAATTGATTAATATAACGGTGTAGTCTTTCTTGATGAGCAATACTGACAATATCATCTATACCTAATATCTAGCTGTTTGGGAAAATTATTGATTGACCCGATGTCAATAAAAGTATGGTCCACGGACATTTTTAAAAAGCAATGTTCTGTTATTGTTGAAAAAAACTGTAAAAGTTACTTTTGTTAGAACACAACATGGTTTGATATAAATCCGGTAACGGATTGGTAATGTAGGAGATGACACTATTGCAAACTGTCATGAAATTTCATGAGAATGAAACTTCGGCAGTAATTTTTTTTAATTTCCCGGAAAATACCATGAAATATTTGTAAAGTTTTCAACATTTTTTTGAAAACAATTCTTATGCATTTGTTTATGGAAACAAACAATAGTACCGGTAGTTAAAATACTTACCCTGTATAATGATAATGAATCTTATCTTATTGGGCGAACGGTCTATTTTGTTATTATGCAGTATTTCAAGGATGTCTAATGAACTGTTTGTTTATATGTTTTATTTATGTTTAATTAAATATTAACAATAATATGTATAACTATTACTATAAATATAACCATGAAAAATTGGGATAATGACATCATCAACAGTTTCTCTATAATTCTAAATATAAAAAAAATATTGTATCACACTACTACTCCCGACCATTATAGAACCGCACTCCCAATTTCAAGATCAAGGTGATCATAAATTTATTCCGAATTATTAAATTAAAAATATGCGAGGTACCACTTTCACTGGGCCACACTCTTTAAAGGTACGCAATTCATAAGTAAACGACCTCTTAAAACCCAGACACGTGTATATATGTGGCAAAATAGCGATTAATAAATAAACTAGTTTATATTTCCAAATTTCTATCCTGAGATATGACATAAAATGAAAATAAACCATGTCAGCCACGAGTGAGCCATTGTGATCATCAACAATTAAACTATATTTCTAAAAGCCTGATAGCACAAGGGCCTCACTATAAACGCAAAAGGCGTTTTCTTGTGTACAGTGTGACATTCTGAAAGATGGGACTAATTTAACTTGAAGGGTATATCTGCAAAGAAATGCAATCAATAGGGCAATAAAAATCGCCATATAATAATAGGGCAACAAAGATATCCATGGTTAAAAGAGCTACCTGAGAAGGTCCTCACAGTGTGTGGGGTATTAGGGTTGTAAGATTTAATACAGAAGTTTTGTTAAAATATATTTTGTTACACAACGTAAAATAATATTATAATGGCACTACAAATATTTATTTACCCGTTATTGGAATTTTCAGTAATATTGCATTATACGAGTACACTCAATTATCGTATATATTAATGAAGAAATCTAAAGTTTTTATTGTTAAATGAATGTAACAGGTTACAAACCATAAATAACATAACTATAAAAAACAATGTCACACGTTTAGAAAAACATTTCAATTAATGTTGAGTTTTTACAATAATTGAAATAATATGTAATTATAAGTCATCTCCACTGAAGTCAGAGTCGTCAGAATTTCCAACTGAAATTAGCAGAGATTCTACTGTTTCCTCCAAGAGATTTTCAAGATCGCACATTTTTTGCTCCTCTTTTATGACGTGGTTTGTGACACTTGTTCAATTTTTGGCAGAGATTTGTGATATCGACATATTCGTAAGTTCTCATATTCTTTTAACTTGAACGTTGTGTTATTCCGAGCTACCAATCCTTTTATTTGTGCCCATATATGTTCTATGGGATTTAATTCACGGTGGTAGGGTGGCAACCGAAGTACATTTATTCCACGCGCTTTAGCCATTTGTGATTTGCTTTGCCTAACTATTTGTACCAGCTCCTTTTTCAACATTTCGTTTTTGAATGAAATATCCTTTTGAGACAACCAACCTATAATGTCGCCTTTCCTCCAAAAGCGGTTGGCAATTATGTTTCTATTAATCTCGAATGATAACTGACGTTTTTCATAACGATGAGAGAGTTTTCTGGAAGTAATGTTATCATTTGTGAAAAGTAATCTTCAAAAACATCAGTCGTCATTTCTTCATGATAATGCAAATCCGCAAATCTAGACACTAGCGGTAAAATCTGCCTCTTTGCGGACGATACTAGTTTCATTTGGAGAGGCCCAGATGTTACGGCACTATACAGGGTGGTCCGAATTGTGTTCCGGAAACTTCGGCGGCATATTCTGCAGATAAAAATAAGCAAGAAAGTTCGTAAAAATGTATGTCCTAAAATGCTTAGTTTCGGAGATACAGGGTCTAGAAATTTAATTTTTATTGCGATTTTTTCCAAAGAATTTCAGAAGTAACTTCAATATTTGGATGAAAATTGTTGTGTCTAGGAGATTTTTGATATGAGTAATTTGATTTTGATGTCAATATGACTCCTAATAGTAGGAGGCGCCACCTACATGTATTTTAACTGCTTTGAAGAGTAATAACTTTTCGTCCGTACCTGTATCAAACTGCTGAGTGAAAAAATATACATTTCCGTGACTTTTTACGTAAAAAATATCTCTTGTCGTTGAGCAACTGTTCCTTTATATTTAGAATGGAAATAGTCAATACATGTCATTATTGACAAAACATAAACACCTTGAGTAGATAGTTATTTATACATTTGGGAAATTTTTATTTTTTTAAATTAATCATAAATTTTCTGCAAAAAAATGATGAAATAACAGTTTCTGTTGAACTTTTGGCACAAAAACATTTAAAATTTATGATTTCAGGCTAATAACTATTTAGACAACATGTTTAATTTATGTCATTGATGACAGGTATTGATAATTTCGATTCGAAATATCTCGAGAACCATTACTGGTAGCGATTTTTACCAAGAGATTTTTTTTACGTAAAAAACGTCCTAAATGTATATTTTTTTACTCTGTAGTTTTATACAGGTACGGACGAAAAATTATTACTCTTCAAAGCAGTTAAAATACATGTAGGTGGCGCCCCCTACTATTAGGAGTCATATTGACATTAAAATCAAATTTCTCATGCCAAAAAACTTCCAGACACCAATTTTCATCCAAATATTGACTTTACTTCAGAAATTATTTGGAAACAATTGAAATAAAAATGAAACTTCTACACCCTGTATCTCCGAAACAAGGCATTTTAGGACATACATTTATACGAACTTTTTTACTTATTTTTATCTGCAGAATATGCTGTTGATGTTTCCGGAATACAGTTTGGACCACCCTGTATAATACTATATATCCAGTGACCACCATTAAATGTTGGAGCGATTCTAATTTCCTATGCCTGAACCTATGAAAAACTGAAGTTTTGTCATATAAAAGTACTATACAACCTTTTGTACTTAATAACACCACTATTGACGTCGTGGACTCTGTGAAATTCTTAGGA